TAGCAATAGATGGACTGCAGCCACTAATGGTCTTTTTTCGTAGTTTGTGTCAAGTCATCCCCGCCAGATTATTTAGTATGTATTAATCACTACATTATCTTTGATGAGTAAACCAAAGCCTTGTTTCACTAATACCAAGGCCACTATACTTGTATAAACCAAGTATCGCAAGAAACAAAACTACTCAAGAAATCTTTAGGCTCAATTCAGAACTCTAATTCTAATCACCATTACTAAATTAAGTCTTCTTCCTTCAAATACTGGTGATTAACACTAGTTTTAACACTGAATGATTACATATATAATAATTAAAAATTAGGTTCATTTATTAAGTAGTCTATGAAATGCCACATACTCTGCTGGATTCTCTGAGTATCCAAATGAAGACATCTAAGGCCTAGGAGCTAAAAGTCCAATAGGTGAACAGAAAAATTACATTCCATACAACACCATGTTCACTGCAGCATTATTTACAATAGCCAAGACATGGAAGCAACCTAAGTGTCCATGAATGGATGAACGAATAAAGAAAATGTGATATATATAATGGAATATTATTCAGCCATAAAAAGAAGGAAATCTTACCATTTGTGACAACATGGATGGACCTTGAGGGTATTATGCTAAGTGAAACAGTCAGAGAAAGACAAGTACTGTATTTTCTCACTTATATGTGGAATCTAAAAAAACAAAAAACAAAAGACCGAACTCATAGATACAGAGAACAGACTGGTGGTTGCCAGAGGTATGGGGAGGGAGGAGGAGTGAAGGGGGTCAAAAGATAAAAACTTCAGTTATAAAATAAGTCCTGGGGATGTAACGTACAGTATGGTGACTATAGTTAACAATACTGTATGGGATATTTGAAAGTTGCTAAGAGAGTAGATCATAAAAGTTCTCATCACAAGAAAAAAATTTTGTAACAATGTGTGGTGATGGATGTTAACTAGACTCACTGTAGTGATCATTTCACAATATATACAAATATCAAATCATTATGCTGTACACCTAAAACTAATATAATGTGATTAGTCAATTATACCTCAATTTTAAAGAAAAATTACATTCTAATATGATCATTGTTAATTAGTAATAGAATTTGCCCTGGTTTAGTAAAGAGGCATTTATCAAAATTTGCCTAAAAAGACAGACAAGAACAAGTGTTGAGTGAGCATGTGGAGAAATTAGAACTCTTATACTCTGCTGGTGGGAATGTAAAACAATAAAGCTACTTTGGAAAACAGTTTGGCAGTTCCTCAAAAGGTTAAACATAAAGTTATCATATGACCCAGCAATTCCACTCCTAAGATATATATCTAAAAAAATAAAAAACATATATCCACACAAAAACTTGTACATGAATGTCCATGCATTACTCATAACAGCCAAAAAATGGAAACAATATCTATTAACAGACAAATGGATAAACAAAATGTGGGGACAGCCATACAATGGAATATTACTCAGCTATAAAAAGGAATGAAGTACTGATACATGCTACAACATCCAGAAACCTTGAAAAAATTACGTAAAGTAAAAGAAGCCAGTCACAAAAGAGCACACGTAGTATGATTCTATTTATATGAAACGTCCAGAAGAGGAAAATCCATAGAGAGAGAAAGTAGATTAGCAGTTGCCAGGGACTGGGCAGGGGGCAGGGTCAGAATAGGGAATGACTGCTAATGTGTATGGGGTTTCTTTTTGGGGTGATGAAATGTTTAAAATTAGAGAGTGGTGATGAATGCACAAATCTGTGAATATACTAAAACCACTGAATTGTACACTTCGAAAGGGTAAATTTTATAATATGTGAATTATATCTCAGTAAAGCTATGTTTTTAAAATCTTGCCTAGAGGAGGCAGAGTCAGGTTACTGAGATGAGTCTTGAATTTGCCCTATGTTAAAGGAAGAGCATACAAGGCCAACGGTAAGCCAATGCAAAAGCACAGAGGCATGCCGGGATGCCAGCACACAGCAGAGTAGGGCAATGGTGAGATGGTCAGTGTTGCTGAAGCATAAGGTGAGACATACAAAGTCTGGAGCATCCTTCTAGAGATGTTACTACACAGTGTGATGACTGGTCTTCTATTATTGAATTTAAATGACTAATTGAGACAAATCGTTTTATGACTTTTTTGACCACTATAGTGGAAGTAAGGTACAGAATGCTCATTTGGCATTCTGAGTTTTCTGAGCAAACTTTGTGGCTTTGCCAGCTCTTAGAGTCCTCTTGACAACTGCTCTGTTGGTACTCTCAGCAATGTATCACAAACACATTTTCTTGAGAACAGCCCAGAAGCACACATGGCTTACTCTGAACCATATCAATGACGGTAGCATCATCAGATTTCCAGAATAAGATCAGCATCTAGCCCCTTAATCAAATGACTTTCAATCTTCTTCTTTAGTTCAGCAATCTTGCGACTAATGTGAACAGTATAAGATTATGAAGAGACTTATAATGAGATGCTAAGGAACAAAGGCTTCATCTTATAAGCTAGCAGTGTTTTTCTGAAGTATGGTATGATGGGGTGGTATATGAAACAGAAATTTAATAGTTTTGTTTTTCTTTTTTACTATTATCTTTTGTTTACTAGCTTTCTAGTTATGGCAATCAATACTGATTTTTCTACTTATAGTATAATATAAATTTCTCTTTAAGAAAAAAAGATCAATAAAAAACATTGAGGAAATAATAGCATAGCTGTCGTGAAGGAATGGCAAAAATCCCAAAGGTGGTATACGAATGCCTTAAGTATGACAACTTAGCTAACAGAAGCACACGAAAAGTTTTATCTGGAAGTGACATGGTCATATTTTAGAGAGATCGTTCTGTATGCGGAAGATGGAGGGGAAAGGGTAAAACACCAGTGACAAAGAATCCAATTAGGAAGTTGTAACAGCCTAGACCAAAGATCGGTAAACTACGGTCCACGGGTGGTATCCTGCCCACATGCTACTTGTGGCCTGTATTTGTATGGCTTGCAAGCTAACAATGGGTCTTATGTTTTTAAAGAGTTGTTAAAAACAACAACAAAAAAAAGGAAAAGAAAACTTCATTTAGCTTGTAAAAACCTAAAATATTTACTACGTGGTCCTTTGCAGAAAAAGTTTGCTAACCCTAGCTTAGACAACTGATGAAGCTATAAACTAAATCTGTAGTATGAGGATAAAGCATAAAAAAGTTTCAGAAGCAGAGTTAATAAGACTTAACTAATCAAATGTATGTGGTTAAGAGCAGGTAGAAGTGAAGACTGATGCTAAGAGGCTTCTATTTAAAACTCAAGGTAGACATTACCAAGAGAAGGAAACAGGAAGGAGAGTCTTTTTTAAAAAATTAAATCACTTTTTTTCATTGACAACAAAAAATAAGAATAAATGACAACAAGCTAAAATTAGATAACAGACTTATACTATTATACCATTAGGAAGACAAACTTGCTCGAAGATGAACACTTGCCCTCAGAATAAGCATTTTGCAACTAAGGGCAAATGTGTTCTTTTTCCTATATTTCCTCTTCCTAAAATGAAGAGGCTGATATTTTACTGCAGAAAGGAAAAGTGCTTAAGTACAATTCTAAAGGGTACTCACATTTAGGTCTAACATAACAAGATCTTGTTTTTGCATATTTGCACGTCCACTTTCTCAGGAAGCTTCCAAACAGCTTCATGAAGAGTAATTGTCCACTCTGATAAGCCACTTGCTGCTACACACTAATGAACTGTTGTAAACGCTCTGCTTTTAAGTACAGGTGAAAATCCACTAGCAGCATGAAGAAAATTTTCAATCCTGACAATCTGAGCTGCTTTCAGAACTAACCAAACATACACCAATTTCAAAACTTTGAAAGTTTCAGGGACATGAGGCACAAGCGCAATGAGCACAGACATGCTTAGTACTTAAAGAGGGCTTTCTAAAAAGCAAAAAGTGCTTCCACTGCCAACAGGGTGTTTGGGTAATTGCCACTCAAGAAAAGAGTCAAGTGTCCTTTCCATGAGACAAAAACGCAAAGACCAAAGAGAAAAGTTATAGACGGGAAACTGGGACTTAATTGTTTCTAGAATAGCAATACATATTAAAACTGGAACTTGCAATTCTCAAGAAATTGCTATATGAAATTTATGAGCATACAGATGATTTTAAAAATAAGATCTCCACTTTCTCCACTTTTCTCTACTTTCTTAATTTGTGAGAGAGTCAATATGTGAAGGTAAAGTTCTAGAAACACCTAAAAAAACCAGTAGGTCAATTCAAGGTAATATAAGTATGTAAAGGAAGACACTACTCTTATAATTGCTCACTAGTTCCAAAGCTCCAGCTCTAAATACGAGAAAGTTAGAGTTCCCACACAGAAAATTAACAGCATGGTTGCTATTCTTATATCAATCACGGCTACTGTTCACCAAATGCTCACCACATACTAGATGCTCTAATGAAGGCCATACAAATATTATCAAAATTAATACTCACAATAATACTGTGAACCTGATACAGATCCACAATCTCTTATCAGAACCCTTGGCGGGGGCAAGATACATTTCTCAACTCAGAATTATTCAGATTTTAGGAAGACAATATAGTGCATCTACTATTTGTGGTGGCTCAGGTTCCAGCAGGAAACAGGTGGCATACTCAAACTGGCATATTAGAGGTTACATATAGAAAAGAGGGAAGGGTTTGGGGAAACTACAAGAGATAATGAGATACCAGACCAGAAGGAATGGGGGCAGGGAGCAGCTACCAGAAACCAGACACAGAGAGGGTCACCTGACAAAAACTATTATCTTCATGGAGGGATGCAGCCAGCCCACAGTGACCCTGCAGGAAGGGAGCCAAAAGAATCCATACCCCAACCTTACTCGTTTTCTTCCCTCCAATCTCCTGCTTGTATTCCACACAGGCCAACTGGAAGCTAGTGAGGAAAGAAGCCCAATGATATCCTCCACTCATGTCAGCTTCTCAGGGCACAGCTCAGGGTGGAGAAGAAGAGAGAGTGGATTCGAAGAGGCAAAGGTGGGTTATCCAGGACGTAATCGTATTAGTCAGGAAAGACTAACTTTTATCACAAACGACCCCGAAACATCACAGGCTAAGACAAGAACAGTATTTCTACTTATATCACGTCATCCAGTAGTTCTACCATCTTCTAAGGTCTTGGAGACCCCCTACTGAACCTTCTGTTTCTAGGAAGTATTGATAGAAGACAGCAAGAATGGAAGATTGGTGAGAAGTTAGACACCAGGCCTGGAAGTGACATACATCATTGGAACCCACAGTTTACTAACCAGAACTCAGTCACATGTCACTAACCAGGAAGATGCTGGGAGTGGTATGGTGATGTACCCAGAAGAAACAGGAGAAACACAAATGTAAGTAATAGCTTTAACGTATATTATGTAACACTCCAGTGGAATTTGAGACAGCACCCCAAAATCAATCTCATTAATATTTCTGCAGTGAAACATTAATATCCACACTAAGTGGGACAAATATAGATGATGATAAAGATAATGAAAAGTCTCACACTGATGTAGGTTAGGTGCTTCCACCAAATAAGTTTTGGTGCCAAACTTTTTTTTTTTTAATTAAGATTATGATAGTTTACAACCTCGTGAAATTTCAGTTGTACATTATTGTTAGTCATGTTGTGGGTACACCACTTCACCCTTTGTGCCCTCCCCCCATCTCCCCCTTTTCCCTGGTAACCACTGATCAGTTCTCCTTGTTTATATGTTAACTTCCACCTATGAGTGGAGTCATATAGAGTTTGTCTTTCTCTGTCTGGCTTATTTTGCTTAACGTAATACCCTCAAGGTCCATCCATGTTGTTGCAAATGGGACGATTTTGTCCTTTTTTATGGCTGAGTAGTATTCCATTGTGTATATATACCATATCTTCTTTATCCAATCATCAGTTGCTGGGCACTTAGGTTGGTTCCACGTCTTGGCTATTGTAAATAATGCTGCGATGAACATAGGGGTGCATGGGACTCTTGGAATTGCTGATTTCAGGTTCTTAGGATATATACCCAGTAGTGGGATGGCTGGGTCATAAGGTATTTCTATTTTTAACTTTTTGAGAAATCTCCATACTGTTTTCCATAGTGGCTGCACCAGTTTGCATTCCCACCAACAGTGTATTCGGGTTCCTTTCTCTCCACAACCTCTCCAACATTTCTCACTCTTGGTTTTGGATATTTTTGCCATTCTAATGGGTGTAAGGTGATATCTTAGTGTAGTTTTGATTTGCATTTCCCTGATGATTAGTGATGATGAGCATCTTTTCATGTGTCTATTGGCCATCCTTATATCTTCTTTGGAGAAATGTCTGTTCATGTCCCCTGCCCATTTTTTGATCAGGTTGTTTGATTTTTTGTTGTTGAGCTGTGTGAGTTCTTTATATATTATGGAGATTAACCCTTTGTCAGATAATAACTTGTAAATATTTTTTCCCAATTAGTAGGCTGTTTTTTTGTTTCGATCCTGTTTTCCCTTGCCTTGAAGAAGCTCTTTAGTCTGATGAAGTCCCATTTGTTTATTCTTTCTATTGTTTCCCTTGTCTGAGGAGTTATGGTGTCCAAAAAGATTCTTTTGAAACTGATGTCAAAGAGTGTACTGCCTATATTCTCTTCTAGAAGACTTATTGTTTCAGGCCTAATCTTTAGGTCTTTGATCCATTTTGAGTTTATTTTTGTGAATGGTGGAAAAGAATGGTCAATTTTCATTCTTTTACATGTGGCTGTCCAGTTTTCCCAGCACCATTTGTTGAAGAGACTTTCTTTTCTCCATTGTAGGCCCTCAAGCTCCTTTGTCGAAGATTAGCTGTCCATAGATGTGTGGTTTTGGTGCCAAACTTTTTTTGACAAAACTTTAGCTTTTCAGAGAATTTCAGACTTCAGAATTGCAGGTAAGGGATTATGAATGTGCATTATAATCCACGTTATGCAAATGAAGAGACTTCTCAAAATAATAGCCAGAAAGTAGAGATGGGACTTAAATTCAGGTCTGTGACTTGGAAATTTATGCTTATAATGCAGGGAAAACTGCAAATGACCAAACGTCTTATTACTCCAGACATCACTAATGATATCAGCACTCAGAAATGAAGAAACCACGAGGAGATATTTCAATAAATTCTAATGTTTCTTGTATCCTATTCTGTAACAGCACTCATTGTGCTCACAGGTGAACAGACTACAAAGAATAAGAGGTTGTGCCTGGCCACAAGAAAGCCAGAATATGGTGGAAGAAAGGTTTAGGATACATCTATGGCAAAAAGCAGACTCTGATAAGTGCTCTAGAGGTATGAAGTCGTGGGACAACTGATTCTAAAGTTAGAATTAGGCAAGGCTCACATAAAAGGTGCTGCCATCAGAGTTAGATCTTGAAGGAAGAAAAGAAAAGTAGTTCGAAGGGGGAGGTTATACAAAGATACAGAGGTGGGTGTATTTAAAGGCCTGAATAATGGTAAACGATTTTTGTTTGTTTGGGAGCATATGAGTGCTGAAAAGTTCAGAATTTTAAATTTTACTTAATTATCATCAAGAGACCTGGGCAGCCTAAGATCAATAAGAAAAAGAAGATAATGAGAAACCCATGGTTGGAGAGCCATTTGGCTAGGTAATGATGCAATTAACTGAGAAAGAGATCATGAGAATATATCTGGGTACATGAATAGGAAGGGGAAAATGTTGAGTTTTAAATTTTAAATAAGTTGAGATTGAGGTGTTTGAAGCATCACTAAAGAGTTGTCTGTGCATTATCTGAATACTCTGATTTATAAAAACTACTCCGGTTGCTAAGAGGTTTTTTTATGTTTACTCCTTAGGTCTGATCACGCTAACCTCCAGTTAAGTAAGGTGCTATATTATGTGTACCATATAAATAAGATTTAGCAAGCACTGCTTCTATTCAATCAGGAGAAAAAAAAATCTTCCTAGCAAAGTAAAACAAGTGAGGAACATGTACTGACTTGTACTTCGGCCATTTATGGAGCAATTTGCTTGTGTATGTCAACACCATTGTTCACAACTCTGCAATTTTTAATAAGTGCTGGCCAATGTGATGAAAACATTAGCACAATACAACCCAACTTCCCTGTATGCTAGCTATCAAGGAAAAGGAGTGATCAAAAGACAAAAGTCCTTTAAAGAATTGACCTAATGTCCTTCAACGTGGGTGGTTTAACGTAAAAATATTTTGTAAACTCAGTATGAAAGTATCATTTTCTTATGCAATTCTTTTCTTATTAAGTCGGCTTTATATTAATAAAGTTTAATTTCTTTTCTAATAGGTTACTTTAATTATTTACTAGAAATTAAATTCCTGCAACACTATATTCCTAAATTACTTTTAATATTTCAAAATAACCGTGGCCAGAATCTACCCTATAAACACATATACAAGATGCCTTAAGAAAAAAAAATAGACATCTAGCTCTAATATACTTAACTTGATTTTAAGTCATGATAATCTCAAGCAAAATAGTATATTCCTCTAGGTAGAGTCAATCCAGTGAAAAAAATTCACTAACGTATACGTGGATAAGAAGAATAACAAAGTGGTATTCACTGGGTTCTTTAAATCAGCAAGTGAAGACTTTATTTGAATCTCTTGATCCCTGCCAAAGTCCATCTGTTTACACCGATTGTTTGGAACGCTCAACGGAGTATTTACAAAGAGCAAACAGCAGGTTAAGTTTAGAACACGTGACTTCCTCAATAATTATATTTAAATAGCACACGGTTAGAAGTTAGATTCGCCATAGGACACTGGAGAAAGCCTGAATTCTTAGTCTTCAAAGAAAAAACACCAAAAGGTAATTTGAAATTTTCTCAATTACATATTAGAACCAAATGTAACTTTTAGTATATATTATATTTCTAAAATTAAAGCTTGAGGTTTAAGCTTAAAAACAAACAAAAAAAGAATATTTAACCATGTCCAATATGGGCTAGTTGCATTATCTCAAATGTGGCAAGTCACTAGATTTGAATATAAGATAAAAGAAAATTAGCCTTACTTTAAAAATGGTTTACTATTAAACTTTTGGTATATGTCTATACTATGTCTTCACCACATCTTCTAAAGAATACTGGACTAAGACTCAGACTCAAGTTCTAGTCCTGATCATTTTTATCATTTAGATACGCATCCTCAGGCAAGTTATGCCCTTTATCTAAGCCCGTTTGTAAAATGAAGGGGTGAACTGGATGATTTCTAAATTTCCTTCTATCTTAAAAACTATGAAATTTCTTAAACCAAAGGTTGGCATTTCCCCAGTGCGGAGACGAGGTTTCCTTCATTCCCCCCCCCCCCCTTTAAAAAAAGCTAGTTCTTAGGTTTGTTTGTGATCCAAGGTTAGATTACATTTCTATAATTATTTTGAAACAGGAAAATGATGTTCAAGCTATCACTCATCAGCCTGCTCCTCCTGTTTGTTGATAACACTCAAACGACCTCAACTCCTGTGACAGTCTTGAGTCCCAGTGTGAGCCTGTATTCTAAGACAACTCTGAATTCCCAGACAACCTCGAATCCCAAGATGACTTCAAATCCCAGGATAATTCTGGGAACAAGAGTGACCTCTAAGATAGTTACAAGCAGGAATATGACGACTACAAAAAGCGGTGGCACCATACTGAATCCAATGGACAACATTCACTTTCTTTTCTATGTAATATTTTTGCTGTTTTGTGTGCAGTGAGGCTGAAGTGGACTTCAACTGTCTGCATTCTTATGTCAGTTCATTATTATCTGCTGAATGACAACAAGCACACTAGGAAAATCAAATTTATTTCAACTTACTTCTTAGGAAGTTATTATCCTAGCTTAATTTGGTTGTCTGCAAATTTAATTGTGTAAGTTTAATTATCACCTTAATATGATGGTTTCCTTCCTTATAAATGCTAAAATAAGTGAAATACCACATTTGCCTTTTAAGTGTTTGCAAAACTGAATTGAAACTCAGACTTTTACATTAAAGGTGTAAGAGAAGAAACCAGAAATCATGTTGGTGATGTTTAACCAAAGTATGCTTCTGTGTGTGTGTGAGAGAGAGAGAGAACGAGATACGGGACAGTGGATGGGGGATGAGGAGTGATGTGTGTTGTTTTTATGTTATTTTATTTTTTACTAAATAGACAAAAAAGTGCCAATCTGGTAAGGAATAACTCCAGTGCTCTACCAAAACAATACAGCTATCTGTGTCACCATATTTCATGAATGTGTAACAGTAATATGCTGTTATAGTAAAAAAAAGGTACCAACTCTGCTAACCTGTGTAATACAGTTTGCTCCAATGACAAGATTATCTTGCTCTGAGTAAACCGTTGTCTTGTATTTCAAAAGGTCATTTGTAAATCAGATGCCTAGAATTCAGAACTTGTCCCTACAGAAATATATCTCATAACTATTGGTGAGATTTTCATGCTGGTCTACAAAGGTTGATTTGACCCAAAATGCTAGTATATCATCATTTTAACAGTGATAATAACCATGTCATTAATTGTCAAGGTTTGAAACCCAACTCTGATTCGTACTAGTTGTGCTACCATGAGTTAAAGACATGACCCAGTGGGATTCTCAAACAAACTTCAGTAAACACTGTCTAGGAATGAATCCCGTGGGCTACCTGTTACATGTACACATCAGGCTCCACCCCCGAGATTTGCATTGGCAGCCCAGGGTAGGGCCTGGCATATGTGTGTTTGTTTCAATTCTCTAGGTCATTCTGATTGCTAAGTTTGGGAATGACTAACAACGTCTCTAAGTTTCAGTTTCTACATATGTCAACGACTGTTAATAATAACTCAGAAGGTTATTGTAAGGGTTAAATGAAAAATTATATAACATGCAGTTTGCCTGATCAGAGAAAGCACTCAGTAAACGTTAGCTCTTGTCATTATTACTACTACCACTAAAAAGCAATTGCCAGCTATCACAATATTCCTAAGAAAACTCTTCATGCTAACTTTTAGGTTTTATATTTCTAATTATTCTTACAAAAATAATATGTGCTCCTGGCAATAAATTAAACAATACAAAGATATATGAGAGAAATATTATAATTAGGCCTCTACCGCCTCCAATCATACCCCCGAGACAAGCAATGTGAAAGGTTTAGTGTATACTCTCACACATATTTCACTCTATACATATTACGTGCATGTGCACACACGCACCCAGCTTACTCTGCACCTTGTCAGAGTCATCCTTCTGGGTGTTTTTAAAGCTGCACTAGAGGACTTCTGTTACTTTTGCTTGCTCAGAAACCATTTTTCCTCGTTCTGATATTGGTAATCCAATTTTCCTTTGGAAAACCCCGCTCCCATGTCCCCTCTTTCAGTTTAGGCAATTCAAGTAGGGCTGGCTTCACCACTGAGCTCCAGCGATGAGCCCATGATTCAGGCCTAGACAACCAAGAAATTCCATCCCATGGCATTCCATGCCATGGTGATTGCCTCAGGAATTGGCATGTGACTCAAGCTAGGTCAATAAGAACAGTACTTTTGCTGTAACTACTGGGAAAGAATTGTTTTTCCACTGAGGTTGTTAAGCTAGGAGAACACAAACTATTGCTGGCCACAGTTTAGGAAGAGCTGCCTGGGAATAAAATCAACACAAAGAAAGTAGAGTCAAGTACAGAGAAGACACGTTCTCCAGCTGACACTGTTCAAAGCTCTGCATGTCGTCATGTAAAAAGTCAGTCCATCTCTTGATCTTCTTAGGTACATGTGCCAAATGATATCCTTTTTGGTTTACATAAGATTGAGTTTTGTTTCTGTCACTTGTAACAAGTAAAATAAACACAGTGCATATAATTCCATTATACAGATGTATCATCATTTATTCAACAATTTCCCTTGTGAAACATAGTTATATTGTTTTCACTTTTTTGCCACTATAAACAACGCTGCAACAACTGTCTTTGTATTTATCGTACTTTAACTACTAGAGGGCAGGAGCCTAAGTATATGGGAGGGAATAGCAGGAAAAGATTAGAAACTAAATGAGGTCAAAATTATGGTGCACCTTGCACGCCTGACTACAAAACCTGGACTTTATACGGGGAGTCAACGGTGCTATTTAACTCATCACGACAGACAAAATTAGATTTGTACTGGAAACTGCCTCCAGAACCGATGTTAAGATAACCTGGAAGTAGTTATCTGGGGATTAGGAAGTGGGAGAATAAGGCTGCATTAGTACAGGTAAGAGCTAATAAGAGTCTCAGTAATGGCAATGGGGAAAAAATGGTTTCAAAAGACATTTCCAAGGTACCAAAGTAATATTAAGCCATTAAGATTCAATTTTAAAAATCCAAAAATTAAAACACATACCTAAAGACAGACCCTGATTAAGGAGTAGCACTAGGTGGTCACTTTGAATCGCATGACTGCTGGGCTAGGAGCATGTACTTGACTTAAAAGCCTACCAGCTGGCCAGCACCCAGCACTAAAAGTTTGCCAAACAGACATGTTTGAACTGAACCACATTCTCTTGCCGGCATTTCAAGTGTGCTGTACTGAAGTAATGAAGGCATTACTAGCTGGGGCTAAAGCTGAAAGGATACAGAAGGAGGGAAATCATGAGGTAGAGTTAAGCAGAAGCCAATAGAGAGTCAAAAAGCGTAAGCTGGTTCCAGGACCAACAGCCATCTATTCTGTCTGCATCTGAGCAGGCTCTGCTCTAACTCACGTTTCTCCTGCAGCCTATCTTCTTGAGAAAACAAGAATGACTTTTTTGCAATAACAAAGGCCTAACTAAAACACCTTAATTGATTTGCCAATATCTCATGGCTAAAATCAAGACTTGGTAACTGATAATGAGGAGGATAAAAGAAAGAGGGAAGAATTTAAAATGATTAGGGTTTCCAGAATGGGAAGGGATAGTGATGCTATTGAGAAAGAATATGGTGTGAGGAGAATTTGATTTGAATATACACGGAATTAAGTTTTGGACGTTTCAAGTCTGAAATGTCTGTGGACTAGCTGCAAGGAGATTGGAATGCACAGCACTAACTAATACCTGGTAGCCTAAGCCACAGAAATAACGAAGAGAAGTCAAACCCCAGTGCTCTTTGACAAAGCCGGCTGCACAGAGATAAGGCCTTCACCGTCTTCTTCTGGACTCGTACAGTGCAGGAACTGGGCCCTGTGCTCTGAGCGACTCAGTGCTCATCTGTCCTGGAGCTAAGGCTCTACACCAAGTGAAAATGAAGGCCAGGAGGAGATCTACTGGGTCTAAGTAAGAAACTAAAAGCACCGAAAAACTCTGAAATTGACAGCGATACCCAAAAACCAAAAAAAAAAAAAGAAAAGAAAATCTCAAACATACTTTGTATAGAACTTCATAGGTCACAAATACTTTACGGGAGAGGCAGACAGCATAGTTTTTATAAGCACTGCCCCCTCTTTACCATATGAAGAAATAGATTCAGAAAAACTAACTCATCCACAATTACAGCTAATAAGCAGCAGGGCTGGGAATCCTTAGCGCTCCTAAGTCACTATATAAAATCCTGGAAATCCCACTGAGTTAACACCACAGAGGGTATCTGCATCAGGCCCCTCCTACTTTCCTTTGGCCTTTTCTAGACCACCAAAAAGAAGAAATGTAATCTTACAGTTTCTGATCCTAAAGAAAAAACCCAGCTTTGAGGTGTTCCAGAAATCTCTATGACTCGTAAACTAACAAGACTTTAAAGGGGGAGAAGGAGACACATCTATCTACCTGTCTCCTCAGTGCTTCACTCTTAATTACTTAGACAAAACAAGGAAAGGCAAAATACGCTGGTTTATTAAAGGCTGAGGCTGGAAGACAAACATGGTTCATCTCCACTGCAAAAAAAAATTAAAATTATCCTAGGCAATTTACAAACAGCAAGTGAGACGAAGGCTGGAGAGAGGACTTCCACGGGAAGGGCAGAGACATCACTCAGAGTTGCTAAAGAGGAGGGCTACAGACAAATGCAAGGCTCTACACCCTCTTGATTCCCTCCTACCCCAGTGCTGGGGACTTCCTGGTCTTAACACTACCTGAATTACCTGATTAAACAAGTTTCCTGCCTTTCATCTTCCTTTCTTCAACACTCTGCCACTATTTCTCCACTTCTGTTTGTTTCCTACACACTGCCAAGTTTTAGCTATCACGACCATTAAGTCTACTGATTAATTCCTCAATTTATGTTAAATTCAGGAAACTCAGAAAGATTATTCCTACAGCTAGTGAATAGCATAACTAAAACTAAACATAGTCCTTGAGATTCCAAATCCAGTGGTCTATTATATCCCATTGTTTTTAACGTTCGATTACCAAGAGTGTATGTCATGTTAAATGGGTAGAAGTAACACTGACCAAATAATGTCACAGATAAGTTCTCAAAAGGAAGGTAGAATGAGGCAGGAAAGAAAAGATAATGGCAGAGAAAGCAACGCAAGCATCATACCTATTGTTAAGAAGGAACTCACAGCATTTTCAGAAAGTTTTCCTAGGAACTAGCCTTGACTGAAGACAGCATGAACAAACACAATCTTCAGGCTGTCACCTGTGCCATCTTTATAGAAATTTCCCACAGCTTTTCTGAATTATTTGTTAAATCATCTTGATCCTGTCTTACACAGCATATTACTAAAAGTTCTCAGAAACAGACTCTTAAAGTTTTATTTCTGTTTTTTTAAAAAAAGTTCTTGATTATCATATTGTGGATATTATTTAATCAGAATACATCTGAAAACAAAAGATTCATTGTGGTTTTTTACTTTTGGTAATGAATCCATTGTAAGTACTATAAAAAAAATTGATGTAGGAAAGAGAAGCCGGTATGAAATAGGTAGTCTGAAAGACACTTTCTAATATACTGAGCATTATTTTCGGACAGGATGGCTGTTTATCCAGCTATTTTCTTCCAGGTAAACTTGTCTTCAATTCCAATGAAGTCAAATGGGAAAAACCAAACTTGCTGTCTCCCTACCTTTGCTATCTATAATTTTTAAAACTCTGTTAA